AGGATCAGGAGTCTGTTTATGTTGGGCAACAAGATCAGTATACACTTGAGATTTAGTCAAAACCAATTTGTTTTGGGCCCTTTTAAGTCGTGAAGACAGTTGAATAAAGAAACCCCCTGACTGATGCTTTATGAGCCACCCAATTAGTAGCTGGAGTCATGTCATCTGCCTTATTCATTTCAAAATACAATTTCAAATGTATGGAGATATCAAGACAATAAGAAGCTTTACCCAAGAGAGATTCATTAAGGCGCCAATGAGGAGCAGTCCTCCCATGTGTCCAAGACGAAAGCATCATAAGAACTGGGTCATGGTCGGACCAAGATGTAGAAAGCATTTTAACTGTAATCAATCTAGAAAGTGAACATGTATGGAGGAATATATGATCAATACGGGAATAACAGTTATGAGCCCTAGAGAAATAAGAGTAGTCTCGAGAAGTCGGTTAGTTTCTCTCCAGGCATCAACGAGATCATAGTGATATAAAATCTGGGCAAACTTGCAGCTCTGTCTAATCTAGCACTGGATTGCTTAAATCCTCTTCTAGAGTCACCAGCCAAAATAACATCGCCCTCAAGCTCTGAGGCTAAAGAGCTCAATAAAGAATGAAAGAACTCCAACTGATTGATATTTGGAGCATAGTATACCAAAAAAGAGAGCAGGTTTCCATCCAAGTGACCCTTCAGCAAAAGATAGCGTCCCTCCCGATCCCTAATAATTTTAGATTCAGTAAACGATAAACTGCGGGACAAACAAAGAACTACCCCTCATTTCTTTTCCGTGGCATTAGCAAAAGGAATAATATTTTTAAAATATATTTAAAAATATATTTTTCTTCCCTTGGCACGTTTTCGTGTCTTCCCTGCCTCTGGAGATGTCTTGCACACATGGAGGACCAGTCTGAACCTCGTGAGGTTCTGGAGTAAAGTTCTCATCCTTTACATGATGCACACCTTTCAATAAGGAGAAGACCGTATCGACCCATCTCATAGAGATTTTTCAGCTAGTTGTATGGTAATGAGTACTTCTGATTTTTAGAATGGCTTGCTAAAGAAAACTTATCCTGCAAGAGACATGGATGTTGCCATTGTTGACTAAACATTATTCTTGCATAAAACTTGTCACCCAGCAGTCAGGCTGACCATCTGGCTTTCATCATTTCAATCATTAACCTTGAGAAAATGAACAGATAACTTCTATCCTGATCAAAACAGAATGAGAAGATCATAAAAGTCAGGTAACTAGCATTTTTAGAAGGTTGCAATTGCAGTCTTTTTTTTCTAAATAATTTTTAGTAAGTATTTACTCCCTAGGTAATCTTATAAATCTAATATTCATCTAATCCTAATATAGAGGTGCTGCATTGGTGACAGGATGGATCCATTCAGTTGTGTCCCCAGTGCTGGGCAGCAGTTGATGTTTGGTGCCCCAGGTCCCACCTACCTAGAAATGGCCCACTGGGTGGTGGGGAAGCTTCATGTATATAGATAGCTTTTTTTTTTTCTTCATCAGTCTCATTAGGAAAGGAGTAATGCAATTGCTTCGTATTCACTGGCCACTACTGCCTTGGCAAATAGATCTACTATTAAAGTGTTAGTATGTGCTTTAGGGGGGTATAACATTAAGTATATGTTTTATAACCTCCAGGCTGTGTTCACAGACCAGCTAAAACATTAAGTATTTATCCACATTTAATGTGAGTTTTTTCATGGTTTGACACTGAGTTTATATATATATATATATATATATATACTGTGTGTGTGTGTGTGTGTGTGTGTGTGTGTGTGTGTGTGTGTGTGTGTATATGTGTGTGTGTGTGTGTATATATATATATATATATATATATATATATATATATACACACACACACACACACACACACACACAGTGTATGAAATAAGTATTTGAACCCCTGTTGATTTTGAATGTTTGCCCACTCACAAAGAAATGATCAGTCTAAAAATTGAATGGTAGGTGTATTGTAACACTGAGAGACAGAATAGCAACAAAAAATTCAAAAGAAATGCATGTCTAACAAATGATGACTGATTTGCATGTTCATGAGGGAAATAAGTATTTGATCCCCTTCACAAAACATGACTTAGTATTTGGCGGCAAATCCCTTGTTGGCAATCACAGAGGTCAGACGTTTTCCTGTAATTGGCCACCAGGTTTGCACACATCTCAGGAGGGATTTTGGCCCACTCCTCTTGGCAGATCCTCTCCAAGTCATTAGGGTTTGGTGGCTGATGTTTGACAACTCAAACTTTCAGCTCGCACCACAGATTTTAATCGGATTAAGGTCTGGAGACTGGCTAGGCCACTCCAGGACCTTAATGTGCTTCTTCTTAAGCCACTCCTTTGTTGCCTTGGCTGTGTGTTTTGGGTCATTGTCATGCTAGAACACCCATCCATGACCCATTTTCAATGCCCTGGCTGAGGGAAGAAGGTTCTTGCCAAAGATTTGACGGTACATTGCCCCGTCCATCGTCCCTTTGATGCAGTGCAGTTGTCCTGTCCCCTTAGCAGAAAAACACCCCAAAGCAGAATGTTTCCACCACCATGTTTGACAGTTGGGATGGTGTTCTTGGGGTCATAGGCAGCATTCTTTCTCCTCCAAACACGGCGAGTTGAGTTGATGCCAAAGAGCTTGATTTTGGTCTCATCTGACCACAACACTTTCAACCAGTCCTCCTCTGCATCATTCAGATGTTCAGTGGCAGACTTCAGACTGGCCTGGACATGTGTTTTCTTGAGCAGAGGGACCTTGCGGGCACCGCTTGGGCGTAGTGTGTTACCAATTGTTTTCTTGGTGACTGTGGTCCAAGCTGCTTGGAGATCATTGACAAGATCCTCACGTGTAGTTCTGGGATGATTCCTCACTGTTCTCATGATCATTGACACTCCACGAGGTGAGATCTTGCATGGTGCACCAGACCTAGGGAGACTGACAGTTGTTTTGTGTTTCTTCCATTTGCGAATGATTGCACCAACTTTTGTCATCTTCTCACCAAGCTGCATGGCGATAGTTTGGTAGCCCAGTCCAGCCTTGTGTAGGTCTACAATCTTGTTCCTGACATCCTTGAACAGCTCTTTGGTCTTTGCCATGGTGGAGTGTTTGGAATCTGATTGTTTGATTGCTTCTGTGGACAGGTGTCTTTTATATAGGTAACAAAATGAAATTAGCAGCACTCCCTTTAAAAGACTGCTTCTAATCTCAGCTTGTTACCAGTATGAAAGACACCTTGTAGCCAGAAATCCTGCTGAATGATAGGGGATCAAATACTTATTTCCCTCCTGAACATGCAAATCAGTGCATCATTTGTTAGTCATGCATTTCTTTTAAATTTTTTGTTGCTATTCTGTCTCAGTGTTACAATACACCGAACATTCGATTTTTAGACTGATCATTTCTTTGTGAGTGGGCAAATATTAAAATTCAGAAGGGGATCAAATACTTATTTCCTTGCAGTGGGCACCCATCCGTGAAGTCGCAAGCTGTTACAGCCTGGTGCCCACAGTTGAGATGCTGGCGCCGTGTTAAGAAGGAGAAGGAGCGGCGCAGGTGAGTACATCGCTGGACTCTGGGGCAGGTAAGTGTGTGTTTATTAAAAGTCAGCTGCTGCAGTTTTTGTAGCTGCTGACTTTTAATAAACACAAAAACGTCTGGAACTCGCTTTAGATGTAAATAATCATTTTAGTATTAGATTAGCATAAAAGATTGAATTTTGATCCATGTAATTTATCTTGGACTGAAGATTTTAACTCTTTCCCGCTTTATTCCAAACTAATAGGGAAATGTTGGTAGGAGTTAAATTTGTCAGTCACATCAGTGATATTTTAGTTACAGGTGGAGCCCCTTTATTATATTTCTTGGGGACTTTGGCAATGTTAGAGCCTCCCTAACTTTTGCACGTTCCGGAATTTTTTTGTTGCTATATTCTCCATAATGAAAAATAAACATAATCAAAACATGTAAAATACATGAAAAATAAACGCAAAATAAACAAAAACAGTAAAGGTGTGCCCCTTTACAGGCAGGTTTGGGGCATCAATCAAACATGTTATTTAAAGGAATTGTACATTTTTTAAGGTTTATTTTAAACATTAATTAAAGATCCGCTACATGCGGAATGGCATTTTTTTTAACATTGGTACATGTTCCCCTTTGCCCAGTTCTCCATACCTATTATTGTCAATCCCTTGCCTATTAGCCTGGAAAATGGCCAACACTGATTTACAAAATCCGTCCTGACAGACATCAGTAGGGTTCAGAGTAACATTCATAATTTCTGTTTTAGGCCTGGTTCACACTACATGTGTTTTCAGTTGCGTTTTTTCTGCATCCAAAACACACAGAAAGTAGGTTATATTCCAGCCACACTGGAAAACTTTCATTGTCAATGCTTGCAGCCAATCGGCTGAAGGTGCTGATCATTGTATTCCCTCAGTGCAGAGACCCGCTGTCAGAATACTGTCACGGTGGAGAGGATTCCATCCGCCTTTCATATGTGGATGGGAGAATCTGTTCTTTTATTCATTTTGCCCACCGGCTGAAAAGAAAAAAACAACTAAGTGTGTATACCCAGCTTTAGACATAACTGGGAGTTTACAGATCAGACCCTCGTTTTCTTGCTGTACAACAGTAACTGAAAACGTATTCATCTGGTGCATTATATAAGAAATACATTTATAGAATTGAATGACAATTGGATCAGAACTACTCATCATGTCTAGTCATTCCTATAAAAAAAAAACCCTACTACGGTCACCATAATAATAAAAACAAAAATGTATACGGTTTAATCAGTTACGTTGTATAGCTATACTTTTTAGTCTGTTGTCACTATTAACACCTGTGTAAACATCTATTTTTAATTTTTCATATAGGTGAAAAAAACTAAGCTGAGTGGTAAACTGAATACCTGTTGTTAAAAAAAACAAAAAAAACAAAAATCACAGCAAAACTGAGTGTCATTTACAGAAGATGAGTCAAGTAGGAGACAATTTGTATCAGTGCTCTGAGTGCCAGAAGAGTTTTATTTCTAAGTCCAAACTCAATGCTCATCTGAGGACTCACACAGGAGAGAAACCCTTTAAATGTTCGAAATGTGACAAGTGCTTCTCACATAGTCATAATCTTACTCACCACCAGATGACTCACACGGGGGAGAAACCCTTTAAATGTTCCGAATGTGGCAAATGCTTCTCACAAAATTTTTATCTTACTCGCCACCAGATGACTCACACTGGAGAGAAATCGTTTAAATGTTCCAAATGTGACAAGTGCTTCTTTCATAAGAAAAGTCTTGTTACACACCAGAAGACTCACACTGGAGAGAAACCATTTAAATGTTCAGCATGTGACAAGTGCTTCTCACAACGATCTCATCTTACTCACCACCAGATGACTCACACAGGAGAGAAACCCTTTAAATGTTCGGAATGTGGCAAATGCTTCTCACAAAATATTTATCTTACTCGCCACCAGATGACTCACACTGGAGAGAAATCATTTAAATGTTCCGACTGTGACAAGTGCTTCTTTCATAAGAAAAGTTTTGTTAAACACCAGAAGACTCACAGTGGAGAGAAATCATTTAAATGTTCAGAATGTGACAAATGCTTCTCTCAAAATATTTATCTTACTCGCCACCAGATGACTCACACTGGAGAGAAACCCTTTAAATGTTCCGAATGTGACAAGTGCTTCTTTCATAAGAATAGTCTTGTTACACACCAGAATATTCACACGGGAGAGAAACCATTTAAATGTTCCGAATGTGACAAATGCTTCTTTCATAAGAATAGTCTTGTTACACACCAGAATATTCACACGGGAGAGAAACCATTTAAATGTTCCAAATGTGACAAATGCTTCTTTCATAAGAATAGTCTTGTTACACACCAGAAGACTCACATGGGAGAGAAACCATTTAAATGTTCGGAATGTGATATGTGCTTCTCTTATAAGATAATTCTTGTTACACACCTGAGAACCCACACTGGCGAGAAACCATTTAAATGTTCAGAATGTGACAAGTGCTTCTCACTAAAGCATAGACTTGTTACACACCAGAAGATTCACACGGGAGAGAAACTATTTAAATGTTCCGAATGTGACAAGTGCTTCTTTCATAAGAAAAGTCTTGTTGCACATCAGAAGACTCACACGGGAGAGAAACCATTTAGATGTTCCAATTGTGACAAGTGCTTCTTTCATAAGAAAAGTCTTGTTTCACACCAGAAGACTCACACTGGAGAGAAACCATTTAGATGTTCCGAATGTAACAAGTGCTTCTCTTACAAGCAAAATCTTGTTACACACCAGAGAACCCACAGAGAAGAAAAACCATTTAAATGTTCTGAATGTGACAAGTGCTTCTTTCATAAGAAAAATCTTGTTACACACCAGATGATCACACACTGGAGAGAAACCATTTAGATGTTCCGAATGTGACAAGTGCTTCTCTTGCAAGCAAAATCTTGTTACACACCAGAGAACCCACAAAGGAGAAAAACCATTTAAATGTTCCGAATGTGACAAGTGCTTCTTTCATAAGAAAAATCTTGTTATACACCAGATGACTCACACTGGAGAGAAACCATTTAGATGTTCCGAATGTGATAAGAGCTTCTCTTACAAGCAAAATCTTGTTACACACCAGAGAACCCACACAGGAGAAAAATAATTAAAATGTTCATAATGTGAAAAGTGCTTCTCTTACAAGCAAGGTCTTGGTACACACTAGAGGAGTCACACAGGAAAAAAAACCATTTAAACGCTCAGAATTTGGCAAATGCTTTTCATGAAATTGTCATCTGAATACTCATAAAAGGATCCACACAAGAGAGAAATCATTTAAAATGTTTAGAATGTGGAAAGTACTTCTCATGCAGTTCTGTTCTTCTCATACACCAGAGGATCCACACAGGGGAAAAGCCAATTAGATGTTCAAAATGTGACAAATTCTTCTCACAAAGGGGACATTTCATTCAACACCAGAAAATTCACACAGAAGAGAAGCCAAGCGGACAATGTGACAAGGATTTCTCATAGAAGCTAAATGCTAAGACAAATGAAGTTATCCAGCCTAATTAATGAATGTGATATATTTTAAAGGAAAAAAAATCTTTGATCCAGCTTTAGAGCTTTACACGGCAGATAAACCACATAAAAATCTGCATTTAATACGTGTTTTTTTTAATAAAACTGCAAATCATATCAGAAGGTTCATGAGGGAAATAGAGAGACACAGCTCAAAGGAGACTATAAGAAACAAACACCAATCCATGCAAGTCTCTGATATAACTAACTCGTGTCAACTTAATGTCGTATTAATTAAAAGCTCATGCCCATGTGAAAGCAGAAAACATTTTTAATATACTATTTTACTATTTTTATATTGTAAATGCATAATGTTGAATGTTGCAGCCATGAAAATACTTTGATTTGCCTAATAAAGCTTAAGTAGATGACTAAATTGCAAATGTGTAAAAAAGATGATTATATGGTGTACATAGTTACATAGTTAGTCTGGCTAAAAAAAAAACAAAAGTCCATCCAATTCAACCATAAAAAAAAAAAAAATAAAACATTATAATCCTACACCCACAGTTGATCCAGAGGAAGGCAAAAAAACAGCAAAGCATGATCCAATTTGCTCCTGCAGGGAAAAAAATTCCTTCCTGATCCCCCGGGGGGCAATCGGATATTCCCTGGATCAACTTTACCTATAAATGTTATATCCAGTTATATTCTGTGTATCTAGGAAAGAATCCAGGACTTTTTTAAAGCAATCCACTGAGCTGGCCAGAACCAACTCTTGAGGGAGTTTATTCCACATTTTCACAGATCTTACTGTGAAGAAACCTTTCCATGTTTGGAGATTACATTTCTTTTTCTCCAGATGTAAAGAGCGCCTCCTTGTCCTCTGTGATGACCTCAGGGTGAATAACTCTACACCGAGTTCACTATATGAACCACTGATGTATTTATACATGGAGATCATATCCCCCCTTATGTATTATACATGGAGATCATATCCCCCCTTCTGTATTATACAAGGTCATCATATCCCCCCTTATGTATTATACATGGAGATCATATCCCCCTTATGTATTATATATGTAGATCATATCCCCCCTTATGTATTATACATGGAGATCATATCCCCCCTCTTATGTATTATACATGGTGATCATATCCCCCTTATGTATTATACATGGTGATCATATCCCCCTTATGTATTATACATGGAGATCATATCCCCCCTTAGGTATTATACATGGAGATCATATCCCCCTTAGGTATTATACATGGAGATCATATCCCCCCTTATGAATTATACATGGAGATCATATCCCCCCTTATGTATTATACATGGAGATCATATCCCCCTTATGTATTATACATGGTGATCATATCCCCCCTTATGTATTATACATGGAGATCATATCCCCCTTATGTATTATACATGGAGATCATATCCCCCCCTTATGTATTATACATGGAGATCATATTCCCCCTTAATCTCCTCTTCTTAGTAGAGCATACATTCAGTTCCTCTAATCGTTCTTCATAGCTGATCTCCTCTGTCTCGTATCAGTTTGGTTGCCTTCTCTGTACTGTCTCCAGTTCCCCAATGTTCTTTTTGTGAATTGTGCCCAAAACTGAACTGCATATTCCAGATGAGGTCTTACTAATGATTTGTACGGGGGAAATGATATCTCTCTCTCTGGAGTCTATACCTCTTTTAATACAAGAGAGGATTTTGCTCGCTTTAGAAACGATGTACTCAAATGTTTCTGCAAAATAAATATTGTGACTGTACAAATCAATCATGCTTTGGTTTGTTCAGTTTAAAGCAGAGGTTCCACCCAAAATTGGAAGCTCTGCTTGTTTGCCTCCTCCCCCCCTAGACTGCCATATTTGGCACCTTCTGGGGGGGAGGAGGGAGCGGGTACCTGGTTTTGACAGGTTCCCACTTCTGGCTTACTTCAATGTGGTGAAGTGAGCCAGATGTTCTGCCCCCTCCTTCTGTACAAATCATTCATACTTTGATTTCATCAGTTTAAATGAAAATAATGTTTTTAGTATTAGATTAGTATACAGTACAAGACTGAATTTTGATCTTTGTAATTTATCTTGGACTGCAGAACCTTTCCCCGCTATATATCACTATATATCGCTATACTACTCACTCTGACCTACAAAGCCATTCACAACACTGCCCCTAACTACCTCACCAACCTGATTCCCAAGTACCACCCTACCCTTACCCTTCGCTCTTCACAGGACCTCCTTCTATCTTGCTCCCTGGTCTCCTCCTCACACGCACGTCTGCAAGACTTCTCCAGGTCCTCCCCCATCCTCTGGAACTCACTACCCCAATCCATCAGACTGTCACTTCCCTCCTCACCTTCAGGCGCTCCCTGAAAACCCACCTCTTCAGGGAAGCCTACCCCACCCTCACCTAACTGCTGCTCTCCTTCATTCCTCCTACCACTCCATCCCCCACAGCCACTTCCTCCTGTACCACTACCCCCTCCCTCCTAGATTGTAAGCTCGAAAGAGTAGGGCCCTATAACCCCTCGTGTGCTGTTTGTAGTTGCTGTAATGTTTCATGTATTGTCCCCCCCTCTATTGTACAGCGCTGAGCAAACCCTTTGGCGCTATATAAACTCAATGTAATGTAATGTAATATCAAACTAAAAGGGAAATGTTGGTAGGAGTTTATTTGCCAGTCAGAGCAGTGATATTTCAGTTACATGTGGAGCTCCTATGTTAGATTTCTTGCATACAATGGTAATGTTAAGCTGGCCACACTCGGTTCAAATCTTGGCCAGTTCAGCAGAAAGCAGCCTAGACTCAAACCATGCATGGGCAGGCTGAATATACCTAAGTTGATCGATCGACCAACTTGGGTACAGCCAGCCTTTTGGATTTTACCTGCGATTATTTCTAGTGGTTGGTATAATAATCAGTCTTCTCCTGGGGGGGGGGGGGGGACTGCTCCTCCAATCCCTGCTGGGAGAAGACAATGGTTCTTCGTGAGGGATTTCCCATCAACACTGTCCATGGTTGCAGGAAAGGAATTTGCTCCATGTATGGTCTGCCTTAGATCTTCCTTAGCTTTTGTGTGTTCCAACATTTTGTTATTTTCTCCATAATACAAAATAAACAAAAAATAACAATATGATGAACAGAATATCCACATAATAAATAATATCAGATGCAGAGAACCTAAACGAACAATACTCAGATATCCCTCAAATAAATATATACATTTTGGGTGGATAAATCTTCAGAATGAAATATATACATTTCTGAGGCAATCACTCCGTGTCTTACATAACATCAATTTGTTGTTTGTGTTAGATAATGAGTTTATGTGAAATCTCCATTTAAACACTGTAAATAATATTGTAATTCTGAAGATATTTCAGTTAGAGCTGTATCAGTGTGGGTGTGCAATATGTCTTCCCATAAATTCCTGTTCTATAGATACTATAGTTGTCAAAGGGAATATTCTATTAATTACACCTTCTTTACTGTATAACAGAAGTCTTTGCTGAGAATCCGCTTTCAGACAGTTCGATGCCAGAGTTATTTTATCCAGCAATGGGACCAAACCTGTTGGCTTCACTTCAAAGGATCCCTCATTTAGATATGCAATGAAGGTGGCCAGCCTTTCATGAATACTTACCGTATTTTTCGCTCCACAAGACGCACCTGACCATAAGACGCACCTAGGTTTTAGAGGCAGAAAACAGGAAAAAAAAAAAAATTCTGAACTAATGGACTGCAGACATAGTACAGGAGATGTCCAAAATAGTGTCCACAAATATCCCAAATATATTCACTCTTTTCATCCACTGAAAGGATTGGCTGCTATTCCATCCAAAACGCACCACCTCGAAATAAGATATGAAAATATCTAGTGCATTACCTCAATAATAATAAAAATAACAATAATCACCCCGTGCAACCAAAATACACTTCAAAAACACTTTTAGTGAAAAAAAAAAAAAAAATTAAATTAATTTCTTATAGTGCATATAATCACACACATCAAACTGTGAACACTCTGTGGTCACTGCAAATCAGTGTCTACCATCAACCAGCACACAGTAGTACTAAATACTATTACCCTCTTGTGAGTATTGCAAATGCTCAGGACAATATTATGGAAAAATATTCCTCCACCTCATCTTCCAAGATATTTTTTTTCTTTCCAAGGTGTCCTCAGAGAGATAAACAGGGTCTCAGGACTAGTATTTCAAGTAAATGGATACCTTTTATTCAACACTTACATTTAGAATTAGAATTTTCAGCTCCAGACATGGTTGGAAACTTCTCCAACCAAACACCATGTGTTAACCACCAACAAAATGGCCGCGGCGACACTTCCGGTCTACGTACGTGCGCCTTGACGTCACTCCTCTAACGCGTTTCGTCACTTCCGACTTCCGGATCCCTTCAGGTGAAGTCCGGAAGTGACAAACGCGTTAGGGGAGTGACGTCAAGGCGCACGTACGTAGACCGGAAGTGTCGCCGTGGCCATTTTGTTGGTTGTTAACCACTTGCCGACCGCGCATAGCCGAATGACGGCTTCACCGCGGCCGGCCAGTTCTGAGTGGACGTCATATGACGTCCTCCCAGAACGCGCTCTCCTGCGCGCCCCCAGGGGGCGCGCACCCGGCGATCTCCGTGATCGCTGTGTCCTACGGACACAGCTGATCACGAGATGTGGTGAAAGGCCGATCCCACCGGCCTTTTACCACGTGATCAGCGGTGTCCAATGACACGCTGATCACAGGAAAATGCAAGTGCCGGTTCTCGGCTGCACTTTCCTCACGCTGTCAGATCGTGAGGAAAGTACTGCCGAGAACCGGCAGTTGTCAGAGCGGGGATCGGCGACCAAAACCGATCATCAGGGCACTGATGATCAGTGCCCTGATGATCGGTGCCCAGCAGTGACCCCCGCAAGTTCCGATCAGCTGTGCGCCCACTAGCCCCGCCCACCATTCCCAGCAGTGCCCCCACCTGTGCCCAGCAGTGCCCCCCCACCTGTGCCCAGCAGTGCCCCCACCTGTGCCACTCTGCAGTGCCACCTACCTGTGCCCAGCAGTGCCACCTACATGTGCCCAGCAGTGCCACCCACCTGTGCCCACCCACCTGTGCCCACCAGCGCCACCCACCTGTGCCCACCAGTGCCACCCACCTGTGCCCACCCACCAGTGCTGTCCACCAGTGCCACCCACCAGTGCCACCCACCAGTGCTGCCAGTCAGTGCCACCAGTCAGTGCCCAGGGGTTGTGCCAGTCAGTGCCGCCAGTCAGTGCCCAGAAGTGATGCCAGTCAGTGCCGTCTATCAGTACCCATCATCAGTGTCACCTATCAGTGCCGCCTATCCGTGACCCCTAATTAGTGCTGTCTATCAGTGCCGCCTATCCGTGCCACCTCATTAGTACTGCCTATCAGTGCCCTTTAGTGCTGCCTATCAGTGCCCATCAGTGCCGCCTATCAGTGCCCATCAGTGCCGCCTCATCAACGCAAATCAGTGAAGGAGAAAAAATACCTGTTTGAAAAATTTTATAAAAGAAACAAATAAACTTTTTTTTTTTTTTTCAAATTTTTTGCACTTTTTTTAATTTATAGCGCAAAAAGTAAAGCGCCCAGTGGCGATTAAATACCACCAAAAGAAAGCTCTATTTGTGAGAAAAAAATGATCAAAATTTCATATGGGTACAATGTTGCATGACCGCGCAATTGTCAATCAAAGTGCGGCAGCGCTGAAAGCTGAAAATTGGCCTGGTAAGGAAGGGGGTATAAGTGCCTGGTAGGCAAGTGGTTAACACATGGTGTTTGGTTGGAGAAGTTTCCAACCATGTCTGGAGCTGAAAATTCTAATTCTAAATGTAAGTGTTGAATAAAAGGTATCCATTTACTTGAAATACTAGTCCTGAGACCCTGTTTATCTCTCTGAGGACCTTGGAAAGAAAATAAATATTTTGGAAGATGAGGAGGAGGAATATTTTTCCATAATATTGTCTGAGCATTTTCAATACTCACAAGAGGGTAATAGTATTTAGTACTACTGTGTACTGGTTGATGGTAGACACTGATTTGCAGTGACCACAGAGTGTTCACAGTTTGATGTCTGTGATTATATGCACTATAAGAAATTATTATTTTTTTTTTTTTTTTTCACTAAATGTGTTTTTGAAGTGTATTTTGGTTGCACGGGGTGATTATTGTTGTTTTTATTATTATTGAGGTAATGCACTAGATATTTTTATATCTTTTTTCGAGGTGCGTTTTGGATGGAATAACAGCCAATCCTTTCAGTGGAAAATGAAAAGAGTGAATATATTTGGGATATTTGTGGACACTATTTTGGACTTTTTTTTGGACATTTTTTTGGATTAGTGGGACTTTGTTGCACATTATATGTTTAAAATTTGAAATTGATTTATTTATTGTATTTATTTCTTACAAAAAGGTTGTATATACATTATTGCTCTTTCTAGGGAGAAAGTATTGACTTTTTGAGGTTTATAAGGGTATATATTGATTGAATAGTACAGGAGATGACCAGAGACTGCGGGATAGTACAGGAGATGACCACAGACTGTGGACACAGTACAGGAGATGACCAGAGACTGCGGATAGTACAGGAGATGACCAGAGACTGAGGACACAGTACAGGAGATGACCAGAGACTGCGGACACAGTACAGGAGATGACCAGAGACTGCGGACAGTATAGGAGATGACTGCTGACCTTTGGGGAGGGGGGGAGCGGGTACTTGAATTTGACAGGTACCCGCTCTTACTTCCACAGAGTTGTTCTTTGATCTTACCTGTTCCTCTATCCAGCCACGCGCTGTCTACCCGGCTTCTGTAGTGTGGGCGCTCGGCGGACAGCCGGATGCCCAGTGCGCATGATCGAGAAGCGCTGCGCTTTGTGATTGGTCCAGCAGTTTCTGGGATCTGTCATGTGTCCCAGGTACCGCCTTACCATTCACAAAGAGCACCGCTTCATGCGCACTTGGGACCCGACTGTCACTCACACTACAGAAGCCGGGAAGACAGCGCGCCGCTGGATAGAGGAACAGGTAAGGTCCCACTGCAGAGCTGAGTGGCCGGCCCGGTATTCTGACACGGCCGCGGTGGAAATACCGGACCGGCCGCTCCATATTCGCTCCATAATACGCACTGACATTTTCCCACCTTTTTTGGGGGGAAAAAAGTGTGACTTATGGAGTGAAAAATAAGGTAATTTCCCAGAAAAGGTCATGAACCGGCATGCTTACATTCCATAAAGGGTGCACCAAGATTTGCCTTACAGGGGGTTGATGTATGCTAAATACAGGGGATTTGAAGGTAGCCAATTATGAAAGGGAAGAGATTTGCCAACCAATCAGAGATGCTCCATGTAATGGAGGAGAGGACTATAACTATAGACACTAGATAGAGACTCTCTGTTTGGAACCTCAGGGACGTCCAGTTCCATGGTAATTATAGAAATATATCCCTTGCACTTTTACAGTATATCTAAATGTTTGTCTTATATATTTTCTGTCTCACTGTTTGTATTTTGTAATATGTTTGAGCTTTCTTAATAATCTTTCTTTTATGTAACTAGATTGATTGTTTGTGTTAGTTTAGACCTCCATCCTATTCACCAATAAATTTTGGTTGTTGGTGTTAAACCTTTCACTTCTGGGTAAGAACTCTTCATTTACCAAATCATATATTTCATAATCTATAGACTTGGTCAACATAATTGGCGACCATGAAGGGACCCAAGACTGAGAATATTTAATACAACAACCCCGAGATTTGCGTAATACAGGTTAAGGTTATTGGGGTGGTTTTAAACTGAGTCAGTTTGCCGGTAGTTTGGAGGTCACAGCAACCCCATCAGGTAAAACAGGTACCTTGTGCATTTTTAGTGGGTATTAGAAGAACTCTAAAAGAGGAAGGATAGTCCACATCATTTTTGTTTTATAAATATCCCGCAATTTTACTGAAGTAGTATATTAGAAGAACCATGAAAAACCGGTCAATCTAACAGGGAGGATATACAGAGCGGGACCTTTTTATTTTTATTTGTTACTTTTAGGCTTACCAAGCTTCATGTATTATTTGTGTTGCTTTAGTGTTAGCACATGTAGGTTTTATCAGGCAATGAAAGAGTCTTTGTTGGTTCAGTGAAAAAATCTTACACTTATTACTTGTTGATTTTAGTTTAGATTCTTTGTTTAAGGTACAAAAATCCTGACTGTAGGATATTTTGTAGGACATTGCAACTAAGCCATTGAAAAGTTGTTCATTTTTGTTGCTGTTTTTAGAGAATTGGTGATATTCTCATTGTTGTCAAAGTAGAAATTTTATAGCAGTAACTTGCAAGTAGACAAGAGTTCTGTTCTTTTATTGAAAGGTTGGAATGTTCTAAGGTATATAACTGCGAACATCTAGTCAGTGAATCCAATATAGATTTCATATTGTATTGAATGGGCATTTTTAAGATCCATCACATTTAGCATACCTTACTTATTATCAGTTTAGACATTTTTTTTTATGTGGAATTTGTTGGGCTAGTTTTTGTTTGCTAGAGCATTACCCCCACTATTGTTTTAGTAGTGTGTTTACTGTACATACTCTGTCTCCATCTCTGTTGTTCAGTGTGTCTCCTATGTCTTTTGTCTTTTAGGGACTATTCAGGGCAGATGCCATTGTTCCTTGAACCCCCCTGGTGGTATTCCCGAGCAGGGGCGGACTGACAACTCATGGGGCCCTCGGGCAATAGGGTATCATGGGGCCCCTGTGTCTTTGCCCAAACTCAAAAAAGACTATGAAAAAGGTACCAGGGGCATCTCAAGGGGCCCCCTACTGACAGCCCCCCGGGCCCTCGGGCAGTGCCCGAGTTTCTAAATGGTCAGTCCGCCCCTGTTCCCGAGTGTAGCTCGGGGTTAACTTTCAGTACCAGAAGCGGTAACCCCAAGCTACACTCGGGAATATAAAAAGGAGGATTTGTGAAAAGGAATTCACAGAAAAGCGGCTACATTATGAACAGAATGTGACACTCAGAAAAATTTCCAAAAAATTATGCTTTTTATTACACTTATAAATATGACATATGGGCAGTCGCCCTGGTTTACCATCACCTCAGTATGAGACAATATACACACAGACCTAAAACCATTAAAATAACACCAAGACCGTTCTAAATGCATGTGCAACAGAGAAAATGACTACAAGAGTCTAATGTCCCTGAGACACAGACACATAGGTGAACACTTCCCAACGGAGGTGTATCCAAAAATTATACCATAGGTATACCATAATACATGTTATAATATGAGAATACGGCTATTGCCTTAATGGTTATGTCCCAAATAGGAAATCCAAAAATTTATACTATGGATACGGATATCACATGTATGCAATTCAGCATATCTTTGTTCCTTAAAGATATGGTTCCTAATCTTCCCTCTTATGTAAGGGATACTAAAGATGTGTTGGCTAAGATCGAGAATATGATTATCAATGACAATTCCATTCTAGTGGGAATAGATGTGGAATCACTTTACACCTCTATCCCTCATGAATGTGGTGTGAGATCGGCCTCTTACTTTCTTGATAAAACATATCCTACTCTGGGAGGACAGAATGAATTTATTAGTGAGCTATTGGATTTTGCATTACGACATAATTTCTTCCAATTTAATAACACCTTTTATCAACAAACTAGAGGTACCAGTATGGGAGCACCGTGGGCTCCGGCCTACGCATGTCTTCATTTAGGGTTTTGGGAGGAGCAGGTTGTCTTCAGATCATCAAGATTTTTAGCTAATGTCCAGATTTGGTTAAGATATATAGATGATGTGTTCCTTGTATGGCGAGGAACATCTGAGGAATTAAAAATGTTTTCTAGAGGAGTTAAATCAGAACTCCTTCAATATTGGACTTACATATATATTTGATGAAAGATGTATTTCTTTTCTGGATCTGGAAATTAGACTTGAGAATGGAAGACTCCTCCTCACCAAGACATATAGAAAACCCACTGCTGCTAACACCCTATTAGAGGCTAGAAGCTACCACCCGCGTTCACTGATTTCAGGGATTCCAGTGGGACAGTTTTTGAGATGTCGGAGAAATTGTTCGAACATTAATGACTTTAGGATGGAGGCTCAGGACCTCTACAGAAGATTTAGGGAGAGGGGATATTCCCACTCTCAAATTAGAAATGCTCGGAGACGGGCATATCAAACTGACCGCAAGGACTTATTATCTCCCAAAATGGATGAGAAGGTCAAATTAAGTGACCAACCTGTTAGAAATGATAACTCAATTTGGAGCCCAATGGCAAGATGTAAAATTAATATTAGAAAAAACATTGGAAGATTCTAAACTCAATGCCCCAAGTTGAGTAGTAGGATTGTAGGTGAACGCCCTCAGATGGTAGCAAGAAGAGCACCAAATCTTGGTGATCTTCTTATCCATTCTGATTATCAACCATTAAAACAAACAACATGGCTAAAATCACGTACTAAGGGGATGTTTAAATGTGGAAGATGTCAAATCTGTAAATATGTGGACCGTACGGATTCCTTTTATGACTCGGGAAATAATACTCACTATAAAATTCAGAGCCTCATAAATTGCTCTACAGTGAGAGTGCTATACATCTTAACCTGTCCCTGCAAAAAGATGTATATTGGTAAGACCAAAAGACAACTTAAAGTACGAATAGGTGAACATCTTAGAGATATTAGATCAAATGATCCTGAGAGTAATCTTGCTCAGCATTATGCTAAATATCATGGAGGTAAACTGGACGGTACAAAAGTAAAAGGTTTCTATGCATTGCACTTTCCACAAAGGAGAGGTGATTTTGATAGAGAACTGCTTAAAAAGGAGAAATACTGGATATATAAACTTGATACACTGTACCCAAAAGGGGTTAAATGTGGAATGTGATCTCCAAGTATTTTTTGGATAAATAGTTCTTATATTTAGGTATCTTTATATTGCCCACACGTTAATTAATCTATGGTATTTCTCCGTTTTTGATAACAGTTGGTGCATATGCTAAATAATTAAGGTAAACCCCTTTGTACTTGGGAATAATAACAACATTATGTATGATCTTACGTTATGGATCTATATATAGCTTTAGAAAAATATAAAAGGATTGACCGTTGAACTAATTATCCCCTTTTCCTTTTGTCCTTTTTTCCTTTTTCCTCCTTTCTTCCCCTCTTTTTTCCTCTTCCCCTCTTTTTCCCTCTATAATATTTACACCATAAGATGGATATCTAAAATTGGGATTTTTGTGTTGAAACAATCCATAATGAGAATATTTAGGTGATATTGCCATCGTGTGGTGTGCTGTGGTAATTTACATTGCCTTTTTAAGAACTCCATTCAGTGAATGGACCTGTTGATTCTTTTACTAATATCGCCATCTTCTGGTTAGAGTGTGATAATGTTTCAACTGATTAGTATATTTTTATTCATGATCTTTGGATTTATATATGTATTGCTATGATTGCCAGGCCTCTCCCCCTCTCTGATGTCTCCAGTTGTCTGTATTTTTTTTATATTTAACAATGACCAGCAGCTTTGTGCTAAGTATTTAGCCCCCTTTCTTCTTCCATTAGGAATAACTGCAGGTTGGTTTTTTGCATAAATGGGTGGGGTTTAACCCACTATAAATAGGAAATTGAGATGTGGTGGTTGTTTCATTGGTCCTGACGAAGCTGAGTGAGA